TTAATGCATAATTTTCTTTAAGAAATGATTTTTGTTAAATTGTTTATTTAAAAAATTAAACATTTTCATTTAATTTAAAAGTATTACAATTATCAAAAAATAAATTTTGTAGCAGAACTAAAAAATTTCAAATAATTTTGCGTTTTTTTTTAAATTAAATAAATAAAATAAATAATTTTGAATTGTTTTCAATGACAATTACAAAACTAATAGAAAACTTAGGGCCGGTTAACAGAACGTGTTAATCGCAATTAAATTTTAATTCGCGATTTACTTATAGTTTGTCAATGCAAAAACAGTTAAATTTTTTTTAAGTTAATAATGATTTGTTTTTTCGTCAATGTCATAATTAACGCATAATTGTTTTAAGAACTAATTGTTTGTTAAATTTTTCAATCAAAACTCAAAATTTTCATCTAATTAACTTCACACTGCAAAATAAATGGCAACTTAGCCTCGCTTAAAGGGGGTCATGTAATTTTATCACTAGTTATAAAATATGACATTATTTTATCACTAGTGTTAAAAAATGTGACATAAAGAAAACAAATAACACCATTTTCATTGCAACGCCACGACCTAGTATGATTTTGGAAAATTATTGAAATCACAGATTTTAAATTCGAATTTGATGCCTATGCTTTTCACAGCAGCTATTATATCTTTCTATCAAAAATACGTACAACTTGTCAACTATGATTGACAGTAGCTAAAAATAACGTTAACAGACCTAAAGCATGCTTTACAATTTAATGTCACTCAACTGGCATTGACGACCAAAATATTTTGTCTCCAACTGTACAATCTAAAAGTTCGAGATCGGTTCAGAACCAATCCAAACTCGACCAAGAACTTTAATCCTCGATCTACGCAATTGAAAAAAGCATTTTATCTTTATTATTACTCTCATGTCTTAAATTTTTTAAGGTTGGACTCAGAATATAAGAAGCGTTTATTTTGATTACGTACACTTATTTGATACCTTACAAATTGTTAAAAATTAAAATTAAAATACGACTTTACATACATTTCTCAATATGCAAATGTGTATTTTCTGCATTGTAATACTAAGGTAATTCTTTACAAAAAAAAAATTAAACGAATAATTTCTTTTTAGCTCTACGATAAAAATTTTCCGGCTTTGTAATTTTTAAACATTTACAGAGTTTTTGACAATGATTTGAACTAATAATTAATAATACTCGTATTAATTTTTTTCTACTACGTGAAAAGAAATTGTAATCTTTCTTGCACTTTAATTATAAAAAATAAAGATAAATGTATGTAAGGAAGCAAATTGAAAGTCGCTGAAAAATTCATAAACGATCACGTGACGACCGATCGATAATGAAGGTACCTGCATTGTGTTTCCGCTGAATCCGGGTTAGTTCCGGTGTCTGGAATGAAAAATCGCACACGGGGTGTTATTAAAACAAATTCCAAGGTGTTTGAAATCGAATGTTATCGGTAGTCATCGTCGTACGTGCTCAAAACTTGGCTCCGCACCGAATTAAACCGCTCGTTCCTGGCTCAACCGGTTCCATCCAGTTCCGAGCCATATCTAGCATCAAAGTCGCCTCAAACCAGACCTTTCCCGTCGATTGTGGAATGCACATGTGTGCAAATACATAATCGAATTAAGCAAAATAAGTTTTAAAACGTCAGTGGTGGTGTTTGCTCGCGTATTTCTGGTGTCTTGATGATGATTTATCGTTAGTTCGATGGAAAACAACATACGTTTCTGTTGAATAAAAGACCAAAAACAGTTCGCGTTATTACTCCCATCAGTGTTGTATTTGCGAAACTTATGGTTGATTTTGCGCGCAATTCAACCGCTCGATGCAATCAGGAATGGTTGAAAAAAAAATCAAAGCCCGAGTTTATGAAATCGTCGTCGACGTCTTCATGGTCTTGCATCACCTCTACGTTAGATGACAGAAATTTTCGCCTAGTAGTCAGGGCTGCAAAAAGAAAAGATTACGTATTGAAGGGTCTGTGCTTTTGTCACGGAAGGAGTTCACTAGCGCTGATCTGAAACCGAAAAAATGACTGTTTACCTCCTGGTGCACACGATTACGATCACCGAAAGTGATTATGTCGTCCAGGCGCAGTTTTTTCACACATTTACGAACCATTTATTGGCCGATGCGAGACTTATAGGCCAGCGGATGCGCTATAGGTCTAGGGTGCGTGGGAATAGGCACAAGATGAACTTGCAGAGGCTACAAACACCCGATTTGAGGACCATTATGAAGAGAAAAACGGCCAAAATCAAACACCATCTAAGAACCATTCATCTGTAGGTTCAAAAATGAAAACAATCTAAAAATAAATCGCGTTAGTTAATTCAATTGAATAGTTCGCGACCTTGACTTGTTAATGTAACAATTGCTTGTTGTTATAATCGGGGTTTTGTTACAGTGGGAGTCATCATCATGGATTGAGCAAGAAGGAAGCGAGTGTTGAGACTAGTGCGCAAGGGAAGACAAATGTAGGAGTTGCACCGCCCCTGGATAACACCGACAGGAAAATCACCGAGTCTAATAATGTAAGGATAATATTGTTTAGAAATGGATACCGTTATATCGACGATGATATAATTAGCATACCGCGGGACTGATAACACGGATCATTGTGGTATTTTTGGAACGTGATAAGTATTTTTAGAAGCGTTTTTACTATGACCATGACATAAAATAATGACAGTTTCACACTGTTGAATGAGATAACTGACCGGAAAATTTGCATCAAGCAATATTTGCGCAATTTTTTTCAAACCTTTTTTTTGTAGTTTGCTTTAAATAACATATTGGTATTTGTTCTTTTGAATGAAATCATTCATTCTCATTGACTTCTAGTTTTATGAACGGTTAATTTTTCAACAAAAAAATTATACAAAGTGACTTTCATCATTATTATCGTATCAACAAGAAATTACTCCCTCGGATTTAGGGATATTCGTGATTAGATTGCCATAAATTTGGTTAGGTTGGTTTATAGTGACAAACAAAAGATATTGTAACTAGTGTCAAAAATTGTCAAATGTCAGCTTGTATACAGTGTTTACAGTCTTGGAGTTGAAAATTGACCTAGTAATAGAAGAGTACAGAAATACTGTAACCGAGAAAAAAAACTCACACAATTGTGATTATCAAAAATATTATTTAACTCCAAAATATTGGTACACGGTTTGAGGGTCACTGAAATTATTTCCTTGTTCAGATAAAATTGTATTGTTGCAACAAATTAAAAAATCGTATCCATGACAATGAAAGAGAAAAGTCACTTCATAGATTTGACACTGTCATCATTTCATTTGCTTTTACTTTAGTTTTTATCAAAATTCTGGTTTCCAATAGGTTCGATTCGTTTTTCTTAATTTTTCTCCAAAATTTATGAACAAGTATGGCAAAAAATATTAAAATAATAAATTGGTTGTCGTGATTATGATTTACGGTGAAACACAAGGTAATGATACAGTGCGATCAAAAAGTCTTTCTATCAAGTAGGCGTACTAGTTGAGGACGTATGTCGCTTGGCAGTTTGTATGTCAGCTAGATGTCAAAAAATTATTTTATAAAAATTAAAATATTGATCTAAACAAATTGAATTTCCATATGAAACGTCTTAAGACACCCTAAAATAAGATGTAGTTGGTGTCTATTTATACAAATCATTCACCACGATTTGCTGTTACAGTTTACATAAAAAATTATTTTGACATTTCTTATTTACCATTGTGACATTTTATCTTCGATAGACACAGGTTTTAAATTTCTAGGTTTGCTTAATAGACAAACTTTTTGCAGCCGAAGCAGCAGTTCTCAAACAAATAGTGTAAAATCAAAAATTTCTTTTCACATCGTGAATTTTTGTTTTATACAGGGTGATTCACGAGGAATAATGAGCGTATTAGTTTTCTTCTACCGTGAATATCATCTCATTTAAATTTCAACCTCAAGGCTGTATACACACCCTGTAGATAAGATAACTCAATTGATAGTTGACAGCAGGTTGACAGAGAACGTCAATCGTCAACAACAAGGGGTAACCAACCCTAGGCATTCCTAAAAATTCAAATCCTAGGTGGTAATTTCTAGTTGACAAATCTAGTAGTACCCTGCAATCAAAAAAAATAGTACAAAATACAGTAGGCGGTGATTAAAGTCCTTCAGATGGCAATCCTGATTTTTGACATGAAATGTCAACTTTGACAAGTTTGCATTTTTTTCTTTTTGAGTGAAATAATGTTCACCTTAGAACAGAAATTTTTTATTGCTGTACAAGAGGAAAATGGTTGATGGTCATTTTCACTTTCAGTTTGTGTGGAAAATTTCCAGCCCAGATTCCCAGCCAACTGTAGAATTTAATCGATGTCTACTCTAATTTTTATTTTTTTTTTGATCGCACGGTATTATTATATCAAAAAGTTGAAAGACTTAAAAGAAATTTAGAAAATAAATCTGCATCCATTGGACAGAACCAATTTGGCGGTTAGATGGATGTTGAGACATTATTTCATTTAGATAAGAAAGAACTCCAAAACTGCATTTTGCTACATGTGACATTTTGCACGAACACCACAATAAAATCATTTAAAAATTAATTTGGTAACACCGAATTGTTGTTGACTGTAGATTGTTTCAAATGAAGGCTATGCTAGCGGCTGTCTCTCAGAAAAGAATAGTGTGACATTTTAATTTGATAGGGAGTGTTGCCAACCTAACTTCAGTGTCACAGGCCACTTTGAATAGAAACGAAGGGTTCAGGAGAAAAACAATTAGAGTCAATTTTTGCAGTTTTCGAGAAAAGTGGAATTTAAAACTTTTGTAACTATCACTTAAATCGTTTTTCTTTTTTGTTCAATAATAATTCAAATGGTCAATAGAGTTGTTTCTCCTGTATGAACGATCAGACATTAACATTAGGAAGAACACATATGCTTCTTCCACAAATAGCTTTAGTTTAGCCTAAAATTCGGACTAAAGCAAGTATTTTTATAAAATACATTTATGTCGAATTAATTCTCTATTAAAATCGAGAAAAATTTAATTAAAAATACCTCAAATTGCTTTATTTTGAAAGAAATCTCTTATTGTGGCGCTTATTTTCAAATGTCATAGTACTGATTCTCATTTGTTCCGTATTTTTGTATTTCAAATTTTTGGGCCATTACTGTAATGCAGTTTTCATTTAATTTATAAAATGAAGTTAATTCAGTGACCTTGGTAAAAAGGATTATATTTTTTAAGTATTATAAAATTACAATTGAATAAATAATTTTGCAATTAGCTTGGACGTATTTTTGTAAATAATTGAATTGCAAAAATAGAGTAGAGAGTGAGTGAGATTTTATTTTTTTTAGACTACTTCAAATAATCATTTGTCGTCGCACTCGACTCCAGAAGAAACCACGGCTTGGTTAGTGAGTAATCGTTTCGGCAAGTATCTCGAAACTTTTGCAAACTTCTCAGGAGCTGACATGTTACGCATGTCCAGGGACGACCTTATTCAGATTTGTGGACAAGCTGATGGAATTCGGTTTTATAACGCAATTCATTTAAAGTGAGTTTTTTTTTAATAGCCAGTCAGCTGTGTGGAAATCATGAAATTATAACTATGTGATTTCTAATTTCAGAACCATAGCACCGAAATTGAAAATTTACGTTTGCCGTCAAAACACTTCAATTTTCAATGCTGTATTCTTATCGAGTCACAGCAACGTGGAGTTGCTGGAGAAGTTGTCAGAGTTAATGGGAATTTCCCAAGATCAGGTACGGGATATTTATTTAGAAGGGCCACATTCAATTCATGTGCAATTAAATAATGATGTTATTCGTCATATTAAAGAAGAAACTATGTTTTCGGTTGAAATTTTACAAGAAAATGGTAATTTTGTTTTTCTTTTAAAACGTACTGTGAAATAAGAGACAAAGTGGTGTGCCTCTATATGTGTGATTCTCAATCATACTCAGTGTCTTATTTGTATGCCTTAAATAATTTAGGTCATATTGCATGAAAATAGTGTTATCTCAGGTTTAACTAAAGTGTGCAACAAGTGTTTTAAGTATGTATTTGAGATTTTATTATGTTTAGTTTTATTTATATTTTAATTGATGTTGCTTACTCTTATTTTTAAAGCTTATTTTGTTAATTGTTAGATGATATTTGATACGTATTATGCATTGTTAGAAACGAGAATGAATTAATATTTTTTGATGTACAAATTATATCGATAATTTTTAGCTCTGGTTCTAACTTTCTTGTGTGTATAGTAGGGTGGGTAATAAGCATGAAATAAGTTTATTTTTAAATCCATAATGTGCCTTGATATATTCTGCAACAGAGTGTAATCAGAGTGCCATAAAGAAATATAGCCAGTTTTAAGCATTTACGAAAAATGTCTTTATTGATATAAAAATTGCATTTACAAAATATCCTACAGTTACAGTGTTCTACTAATTCTGGGTCTATGATTAGTAACGTTAGTCCTCGTTATATACCCTCTTCTGTAAACTGGTACAGGTCTCTCTTGTACCGGCAGTGCCTTTTGAGATCTTTTCGTGGTATTTTTCCCTTCATTTCCCAAATCAATAGGACCTGAAATTGCACTCGTCTCATTCACCATTTTCTCGCTTTTCCGCGTCTCTTGAGTAAAATTAGTCGGCAGTGGAATCTTTACGAACAAAATATCATCATGTTTATTCGATTCGTTGGTTATTTGGTACTGGATATTCTTGAGATCATTGGACTTTATTATATCGATCAAATTCTGAATGGCTGCATATTTGGGGTTGTTTTCGCGGCCTTGGACGGCTTTCATAAGCCTAGAGTCTGAGTCGGTACTGTTGGGGGGCATCTCCTTGTGCAAATAAGATAGGGGCCAGTGTCGCGGTTGTCCAAAACCGCCAGGTTTCGGAGGATCCAAAAACTGGCTCTCGAACTGCATTTCGTATTCGTCTAGACTAGGACGTGGAGGTGGTCGTGTAGGGGGCGCCGGGGGGCGATCTGGGCGACTTCCAAGTGGCGGACGGTTGTCGGGAAGGTAATTATTGGGGGTCCAGGGGGCTGACGCCGTAGGGCGGTCAAAGCGGTCGATGAGGTTGTGGACGTAGGGGTAATAGCGGTCGCTGCATTTGCGCCATTGGGTGCGCGAGGGGCCCACGTAGCACCTAATTTAAATTTATTTTAATGTAATGTAGTGATTTTATTTTTTTATGGTTGGCGACATTGGTTCACATTGACAGACGCCGTAAGATAAATGTTTTTTGAAAATCAAATTAAGTACTTTCAAAATGTGTGAAAACGGCAGAAACTACAACTACTGAAAGGTTTTGAGTTGAATTAGCGTCTTTTCTTATCGGGTAAGTGGTATTTTTCACATTTTTATAATATACAACAAAATCGCCGCCTACTATACTTTGTTGCAAATTTCTTTGAAATTATTTTTACCATTGGTATTCAAAACCGTGTGAGAACCCACACTGATGGTCAGGTCGGCAACAATAGTCCCAGGTGTTAGCATCTCCTCCTTCTAATTCACAGAACCAAAAACCTGCTTCGCGGTTTTCCCTACAAAGGCTTCCTCGACGGCAAGGCCACCCACTCACGCTATAGACTCTCCAGGTTCCAATAGCATTAGAAAGATCTGTAAGTATGTCTATAATAGATTTTTTCTAATTTGCGTTTATAATACGTTTATTAACGTCTCTCAGTAGGAGTCGTTTATGATAAAAGCACACTGTACTTTAGAGAATTTAGGGTTATTTAGTTTTTGTATGCCGCTTCTGACTTGTCAGGTAACAAATTTTGCGTTGTTGCTTCGTCAATTTCTCGAATTTCGGGCGGAGTGCAAACTAAATTCTGTTGGCTCATATTTTATTTATTATTATATGTTGTAACACTGATAACTAATAATTTGTAAATTTTATTTTTAATGGCAGACGGCAGAAATGATTCAAAAAATCAGGTGGGCGCCGAGTGTTACCAACCGATATCAACTAATACAAAATTCTCTAGACGACAAAAATATATTTTTTTAATTAAAATAAGAAAAAAGGGGGCGCAAATTAGAAAAAATAGCATAAAATACTCGTTTTAAATGGCATTGGCGCACTCATCCCATAGAAAACTTGTTCTTTAATATACTATTTTAATTTTTATAACAAGATTATTACCATCATAATCGATGCGGTCTTCTTTATGCCCTATGTGATTATGGCTGGGCTTATGGGCAATTGCTGTACATTCGGGATTATAATTATCCCAAGCAAAAAGCCAAAAGTCGGGATCGGGAATATAGTCAACATTGGGCAATAAATCTCTTTGCAAAATATCTGATAATCTGCAATTTGGTTCCCACTTTGAACTCCTGGTGCTACAAATTTTTGCTTGAATTTTGATCAAAACAATTGCAACACTTACCTAAAACTTAATGACATGCAGTGGAAAAGCGTCTTGTCCCTATATTTCGAACACTCAGCCTTGCATTCCTCCTCAGTCGCAACCTGGATTTCCTTTCTACAAGCTTGTGGTAACAGTTTTGCCGGAGACCCGTATCCAATATAACACACTTAAATAAAATAAAAGTATTAATTTTTCTCCCGAATTTGAAATTTATTTACATTGATCTCTCCGCATCTCTGGATTTTTCCAAGGTCGTCCTCTAATCCCGAAATGGTGCGGCTCGCATCCATGCCCAAAACTCCCTCTTTCGTAGATTTCAAATCCGGGTTCTGGGACAAAATGGAGATGGGGGTCCATTTCGTAATATGGCCAGTCAGTTAAAAGACAGTTGTCGATGGGGCCACCGATGATTGGAGATCCGTACCTAGAATGAAAGTGGATGAATTTGTATTTTTCTGATTTGGGGTGGGTACATACCTGTAGCTGAAAGCTCGACAAGTGAAACGGGCTGATCTTAAACATTCGAGTTGGCATTCCACGATTGATTTTACAGATAGGGAATCTCGGACGACTTTGTGGTCCAGTCTTTGGGCGCTCCGGACGCGCCAAAAGCATTCTGAAATTTCATAAAATAAAAACAAACTAATTTCCTGAATTTTTTAAATTATCGTTAAGTGGATAATCTTGCTTATGTTTTTCCCTAACAGTCAGTATTGACTTTTCAGGATTTCAGGTAAGCATTAAATTTTTTATTTAGTTTCATGTTATTGTAACATTTCTCTTCATTCCTAAATAATTTTAGGTCAGGTTGACCAAACGAAGTGTTTAAAGTTTTTTTATGGATTAATTACGTGTTTCGTGCTAGTCGGTTTTTAACATTCGGTGGATATATCGTGGGTCATTCCATTTATGTGTTCATCCCAAGGGTGGATTCAGGGGAGGGCCTCCTCCAAACTTGCCACCAAAAGCTTCAATTTTTTATATTTAAATTTTAATATAAAAACCGTATGACCTAAAGTTTTTTAAATAAAAACATTAGAATTCTTTTTAAATCATACTTATTAATACAAATCATTCATATACTGAGAGATCAAAATAATTTGTAATAATTTTTGGATTCGAAAACGTACAGTTCGGAATTAAAATTTCAGTCAGTACTGTCATTTTCATAATGTAAACTCTAAAACAACCTTTATATTAATAACCTCATTTTTTACTCTTATCATATTTATGTCATTTTGACTTATTACTTTCAAAAATAGTGATTTGTGGCATAATAACGGGTAGGCAGCAGATCTTAATAAATTTCCTAAGACAAATTGTTTAATTAACAAATTTAACAACAAATAAAAATAAATTTAATTGTCAAATGTCAATCATGATGACAGTAAAAGGTAGTTTACAGTGAACTTTTTAAAGTGACAGAAAAATAGGTACTGTCCGAATTTTTAATTCCGCAACTGTACGTATGTCTGTTTTTGAATTAACTGCACGTGAAACTTCAAATAAAATGACAAGTCTAAAACGGCAAAATGGGCTGGAATTAGTCGCCGACGTATAATAATAAGACCGTTCTTTTTTGAAGGTAAATCATAAATTTAGTTATCTTTTAGATCATGGGATTTTACCTTTCCACTAGTCATTTTATTTGACGTTTCACAGACATACGTTTTCGGATACAAGGACAAATTATCTTGATCTCTCGATACTTAATTAGTTTTTACTAATTTAAAAAGAAATCATCAATTGTAATTTTCTTTGGGCCACATCTTAGGTATCTAATTAAATTAAGTTTATATCTCTTTGAATAATG